GCGCATGCACGTACACACGCACGTGGACTCGCTCGATGGATTTCGTGCCGACCGGTTGTGCCTTCAAGATCTCCAACGTCAGCGTAGCTCTGGTCGGCTAGGATGTCCCTACGCCATCTCCTGATGCCGATATTCGAAGACAGCGTATCTCTGGCCTACTGGACTTGCCCTACGCCATCTCCTGACGCCGGCAAGAGCTCTCGCCAATGGCGCCCTGTCCTCGGACTCCTGCAACTGTGTCCATTTTCCCTGTCTTCTCCTTACTTCCGTCGTTCGCTGTCCCTGTGCCTCGCTCTCTCCTTCCTCTTTCTCTATCTCTTTACTTTTAATCCTATCCTTTTAATTCCTTCTCTACCCCATCCCTCGTGAGCTACTGTTGAGGTGTCTTCCCCCTGAGAGACAGTTACGGCACTCACTTTTCTCTTCTTTTCATTCAAAATCACTTCCTTACGCCACCCCATTACTGTCGTATGTTACTGGAAAATGAAACGACATCATGTTTAATGCCTGTATATCTTGCGAATTATGAGTGACACGTAGTGGCATGAGATGATATTTCTTGCGCAATAACTTGTCGCTCTGTAATTTTGCGTGTCATGCACTACGACGGCATCGACGTCATTTGAGTCTAGTTTTATTGCGCTGAGCGATAAATCATACGCGTCAATGCTTCCAAGCAATGCCGTATAGCCAGAACTGGGGGTACCGATTACCCCAAATATGCGAAAATAAAAATTTCAGGAAGGCTGTGTGGGTTCAACGACCCTTTATCTATGTGTTGTATGTGTTCGTGTATATATAAACATGTAAGATTGAGGGGTTCGGTCAACCCCCATCCCCCATGGTTACGCTGGTGACCAGATGCTATCACTTTTATTTATTCCCTGTCACGTGTGGGGACGTCGCTGTTGTTTTCCTTGTCGTCTATTGCACCGATTATGATAATAACATTGCGCAGAAGACTTTAAATACCTGCGGTTGTAGGAGAGGCCCTTCTTATTTATGCCATCATTTTGGTCCTAATTACCCCAGGAAAGCCATAAATCAAAGTACAGGGCTTGCGAAAATGCCTTAGGTTTCAAATGGTCGTGCCAAAAGTTTCAATCCTAAAGCTATAGAGATGTCATTACAGATTAATTGCGGGGCTTAACATCCCAAAACCATGATATGATTATGACGGACGTCGCAGTGGAGGGCTCCGAAATTTACCGTGTGGTGTTCTTTAACGTGCCGCCGTGGCCGGGCTTCGATCCTGCGACCTTCTCGTGAGCAGTCCAGATCCAAAACACTTAAACCACGACGGCAGGTGACGTGTTTTGCAAACCTTCTTTTTCAACGAAATTGCCACAAAAGTGTTTTGTTGTCGGCCCCACGATTGCAGGGGAAAACCAATTTTGCGGGTGACGTTTGCTTGAATTCAATTACTGACTGATTATCACTTCAGTGGCACAGCCAGGGCTATTGGTTTGGCTGGCTCGCTCAACCCTCTACTCCGCCCCACCCCGCTGAAACATTTATTTCGTATGTGCATGCGCACAGGTACAAATGCACGCATGAATATACATGAACGGAGTCAAACCACATCTCGAAAAAATTTTCTGGCTACGCCCGGGTTGCTTGCCAAGCTATATGCATACATTTATTATTTACTGCAGGCATTCCCTTCTTTATTCGGTGGCCATTATTCCGTAACACCCGATCGCCTTCCTTAAAGAAGAATACCAAAATTTTTAATTTTTGGGTACCGTTCTGTAATATTATTTTATTTTTCACTGCAGAACTTTGTGATATGGAGTAGCCGAGGCAATAGGCACCTCTACCTCTCCACAGCAAAACAGTTAAAACAGAACAGAACAGAACAGAATACCAAATTTCGATCGTGGTGGCCGCATTTCGATGGACGCGACATACCAGAGGCCCGTATGGTCAAAATTTCCGGGGCCCTCCTCTACGGCGTTCATCATAATAATAACGTGCTTTTAGGACTTAATACCCAAAATTATTTTTCAAAATGTCGCCTGTAGATCACTCCCGCCCTCTTTATTCTCAAATGATCCTGCATTCCTGAACCAATTAAGGTTCGAGAAAAAGCGTTCTTTTTTGAGACCGTCTTTTTTCCCGCTTCAATCATCGTGGCTGAGGGGCTGTGAACAGGTAGCGCATCCTATGGAGGAAGCTTGCAAGCACTCGTCTACGACCGTGGCGTCCGAGATTGGGGATGTGCGAGCACGCTCTCCCATGTAATCGGTGGCACAGTACTATTTAAGCTACTGGTCTTGGTGACGTTATCCTTATGCTTAGAAACTTGTGGTAACCGACCGACTCTGTCAAATACCACTGGGTCGCTTCCGCCTGTTAGAATGCGTAGAACTCTCATCACGTCAGCGGACAGCGGGAAAAGTAACCTAGCGCCATCTGGCAGTTTCTCACAGAACATCAGCGTGTATTCAATTCAATTGAAAGATTGCTGGTACACAGCGCCGGACTATCATTGCGTTACTGCATCAAATGTTTTGATGTCCTGTACGTTCCTCATTGGGTTAAACGCGTGACTCCATCTGCCAATCATATACGCCTATGACCTCTAATTGACTAGTTTCTGTTGCAGATTTTTAAATGTGCAGCATTTCTTCGTGTACTGTAAGCACTTTTCGCGTCTATCTGCGTATTTGCTTATCTATGTATCTATATATCTAGCCGCTTACGTTTCGGTGCCCTCGTGGCCACCCCCTTGGCGTTAACCAAAATTAGCATGGGAGGGTAAGATGGTTTGACGAATATGACGCGCGAGTCACGACATCAGTAATGTCACAATCCCGTCGCGTACATCGTCAAACACTTCCCGCCAGACAGTGGCACATTCTCACTGGCGGGTATGTGCCGCTAGTATGCGGGTATGTGCCACTGGTGACTGACACTTAGTATCTACCCAGGAACGACGAGAACACACATGGACAATTTTAACGCGTGAGCTATAAGAAAAATGTCACGTCGGTAGCGTTAACTCGACGAATGCAAAAAGTAGATGTCATGGTCCCGGCTGGAATCGAACCCAAGCATTCTGCATGTCAATCAAGCTTTCTGCCACAGAATCACGCCAGGCCTCGGAACTGTCTTTCAAGTACACACTAATGTTCGTGAAACGTATGTTGTGGTGGCGGTGCTGACTCTATATGATTTTATAAACTTACGTATGTATTCTTTTGATTCTTCCGTAACGTGGGGTGAACGTCAATTGTAGTTGGGCGCCGTGCACTCTAGTTAAATTGTGTTGTTGTTGTTCTTGGTGTTGTCGTTGTTGTCGTTGTTGTCGTCGTCGTCGTACTTGTTGTTTTTCCCTCTGCAGATGGCTCGTACATACCCAGAGGAGGGGATTAACCGATTATAAGGTTAATTTGCCCGATACTTTCTGAATTGCTTCATTCCTAAAAACGCTAATTATTTAGTTATGATTTCAAGTGCCAATTGTGAATTTGAAGATAACATAAAAGAGGAGAGCCCACAATTTAGCGAGAAAATTGTTTAGTCGCATTGATGTATTTTATAACGGCGAATAAAACACCCCTGCGTGTGCAAGACTATCATCCCCGTGAGCACCAGCGCTTCATATCAGCTTATCGTATCTGGTGTTACTGATATTCATGTTCCTATTGACATTTGTATTGACATCAAACTGGTTACTGGTTATATATGCAATTCTTATATATACATATATATATATATATATATATATATATATATATATATATATATATATATATATATATATATATATATATATATATGCGCACGCATAATTTCTTGGGGGTGCATATACACGAACATACATGAAGGGCAATTAAATTCGCCACCCCTTCAAAAACATTTTTGCTATGCCCCAGGTTCCAGCATTCGCAGGGATGCAGATGTGAATTCATGATTAGGTTTAGCTTTGTGGCGGACTGGCCTAACGCTTTCGAGGACTTCTCGCAATACAGAATCCGCGGCTCTATAGGTTTGCCAAGATGGCATCACCGCGGCCTATATATTTACGGATGTCCGGCAGAACGTCGGACACCAAGCGTGCGTATTTCCTGAGGCACGTATGTAGGCGCGGTCGTTTGCGATGTGACACACCGAGTTTCTCGTTGGTTTTGCTGAAAGCGCGCCTCGTTGTTCTTCTTAATGGACTGCTATGGCAAGATGCGATAGCGTTATCTGCGAAGCGGCAGAAGATCAAAGGGAGCGGCCGCCGGAAGCAACGCATGTTTCTCAGCGGACATCAAAGGTGGTCGCTCCTCGTGCCCAAGTAACTCCGGCTCCACAGTAACGTAGACTTCTTTCCCTCTGTGAGGTCTACTAGCCCTAGCCAAGGTCCGGAGTACCGCTGACCCTAACACTGCCACATTTCTCTCGATAATCCAAACCCCGTGTTCTTTCCACATTCGATTGTTCGCAATGATGAATGATGCAAAGAAACAGAAGACAGTGAGGAAACGTAGAGTCGTGGAATGCGATCTTCGCAGCAAGGACACTTTGGAATGGTAAGGAATTTTATTAATGCCCAGCATGCGCGTGATTTTTTTTTTTTGCTTGTGTGCGTGCTTACGTTTGCGTACACTCAACACGAGGGCTCGAGGTTACATCTAACCATAACAACACGGTGGAGAAGAATCTAGGTGCAGGAGAATCGCCATGTGTCTCGAAATCAAATGGTATATCTCGACGAACCGGATACGTCCCTAGGTCTCCCCACAAGCATTCCATATTTTCTGTGGCAATCCATGGTGCTCACATAAAAGCGTTCTGTGCGAACTCGGACCTATAATACATACATCGTTTGAAATCAGTATTGCCCAAGAATCACACTTATTTAGTTTGCAAAGAGTATGATAAAAACGTTCACGATAGGTCTGTGCGAATGATTGCGAATGTGATATTACTTCTGTTTGTTACCGCATTAATAACTGTTGCAATCTGTTGTGCGTATATGTGCACTGATGGTCAAGTACAAACCGCAGGGTGTCAGCCAACTACATCGAGTCGCCAGGCGTGTGCTTACCCCGGTGCACCTTGTACCAGCATTACCTCGACCGCTGCCGCAGGAACTCGAAACCACCCATGGGAGCTGCGGCATTCGGCAAGGTTGGCAGAGTTGCCCAAAGTTAACGATGACCTAGCTTTTCTTTCTTCTTTTATTAGTCATAGATTTCAACATATCGATGTATTGCCATGTTTGGAGCGAAATCTGAGGACGATCTCTTTTCATGGTGTGTTTTACTTTGTTATTGACAACAGATTGCCACAACTTTACTCAACTTTAGAACTTATCTTTTCCACTTTCTTCCGCTATTGTGGTGCTCTGTTCATATTTCAGTGCCTTATCATTTCCGTTATTTTATGTGAAGCAGCAAAACCTTTAAGCACATTTGACGCCATCAGCTTTTCCAGACATTTCTCCCTCACTCACACTAAAGCGCTTCACACTTGGTCAACGCTCGCACTGCTATCGATAAGCCCACGAAGCTAAGCTGCGGGTAATTTGAGTCATTTGTTTCAGTTTTTCAGACTCGCTTTTGCCACGAAGAAGAAACAGTGCCCAAGGCAACGAACGTACGAAGTTTGTTTTTCGTGCGCTAACTTCGATTCCCAAAATGCGGGGAACAGAAATTCTGTTTTAGATCAGCTATTGATTGCGACTGCCATAAAAGAAAAAAAAACATTCTAGGTTCTAGAAGACGAATTTTCGACTAGAAGGTATACGTGCGCTGTCGTATTTCTGTCTGCACAAGCATTTCATCATTATTTCGCTTTCCCTGATCTCGAAAAACGCGGGATCGAATCCCGGCCGTATTTCGTTGGAGGCGAATCGTTGGATGCCGCCTGTGTACTTGGATGTCGACGCGCGTTAAAAAACCTTACGTGGTTGAAATTTGTGGAGCCGCCCACTACAATGTCACTGATTAATATATTGTAAATTAGGAGCATAAAACCACGATATTTTTATTGCAATCATTTCAACTTCTGTGCAGCTCATACGACAGAAGTTCCCGGCAGTTACCACCAGGAGGCTCGGAACGAGGGGGCAGTCGAGGTGAGTCTCTTAGACAGCAGTGCTTTGAGTTCACGACATATGCCTTTGAGTTCTCTACTGCTTTATACACTACTCATTGTCTGCGTTTGGCAAGAAATTTGATGCTAATGACAAAAAAAATCTGGATTCGTTCAGGTACCACTATTACGGTATAGGCCTGAAGCCGACGTCCTTCTACTACGATCAGGCATACTGCGGCAAGGACATTACAAGGTAACGATCGCAATGAACAAACGTTGCTTTTAGGAGGCCTTGTGTTTTACCTGTCAAGAGCGTCGAGTGAACGTCGGTATGATTCGAGGAATTTGGGTCCATGCACGGCAATAAATTGAGCTCGTGTAGGCAATAGTCGAGCTGTGCCTAATTTTGAGCATATTTCAAAACAGTAAGCGACGCCTCGCAATTTTCGTAATCTATGCAGTGCGCTTTTACTTAAAAAACTCACTGTGTTCATATAACCAGTACAAATGTTCATCGGCAGACGGTGGGTCGGTGTTAGCTGTGATGACCAGTCCAAAATACAATGGTAGAAACAGTGGCAGAGCCCATCTAATGTGTTTTTTGGACTGCTTGTACAAAGTGGGTACAAACATAGTAGTCTTACATGCCTTAGTTTCCTTGCTGACATTTTAGTTGCAGAGATGCAGACTGAACCATCTATACTCTTCCACTAATGTCGATTTCGCATTTATTTTTCCCTGCTTGTTGACGATAGTTTATTTGAAATACAAGTGTACTAATAATCGCTTTAAAACTGACCGTATTTTCCATAAAAGTGCGATCTTGCGTTGGTGAACAGCGACAACGGTGGTCGCTTTCTGTTGTCTCTTCTATTTTTGACAACATGTAAACATGAATGCTTCATCCAGTTCAAGACGTCTGACTTAGCTCACTTGTTTGGGGTTATTTCACTACAGAAAGCATTGAGTGTAACCCGGCTTGATTCACACTGTACTATGCACACATAGGTTTATCTTGTTTGTTTGATTATCTGACAACCGGTGATGTTCATTGCCCAACAGTGTTTTTTTTTTTCTGAAAGCATTGCTGAAACATGCTGAATATCACTTTGGAATGGTTAATGCTAAACATACGTACTGAAACAACTCAGTTATGGGAATTACTGTTTAATATACAGCGAACATAGCAGTATCTCTTTAGTTTGAACCTAACGATACAGGCAGCAGGCAATGCGCCGTCACCTTCGTAAGTAGTGTGAACTGTATTTTTTACTTTCATAGATACTGTGATTGTACAGTAGCTTCACTGTAATGACACGCTCTTCACTTTTTTTAAGGTTCTCGGGCCAGAAGGTCAAGTGCATCGAGGTAAGAATCAAATTATCCTTGCTAAAACAGCACAAATAAATCCTTTTTTTATGTATATAACAGGGAGAGCAGATCAAACAACCGGTGCCTTGCACAAGCCGCAAGAAATGGGAGTTCATTCCTGATGTTCGAGATTTGAGCCCTACAGAGACTGTCGATTGGACAAGGGTACGAGAGAAAACAAAACGCTTCGCTTTGCACAATGTCTTTAGGGGCAATGCAGAGTTTGTGACTTACATGCCCGCTTAATACGGCATTCACTGACTTCATCATCATTCTAATAATCGCCATCGTCGCCGCCATCATCGACCTATCTTACGTCCTGTGCCGGACGAAGGCGTCTCCCAATCATGTACAACCCACTATGGCCTGCGGTAGCCTATTCTAGTTTATGCGTCCTAATGTTTTAATTTAGTCCTTTCACCCATATACTTGGCATCCTCCGCCGCCCTTCTGATGTATTGGCATCCATTCCGACGCTGTAACTGTCCATGTGTCCCTGTTTTGACGTGGGCAGCAGAGGTACACTTTTGCTTTCATTAATTGCTAAGATATCGGCCACTACTATTTGTGTTCGGACGCCCTCTGCTGCCTTCCCATCTTTCACATTTACATATATACGGTTCTTCGTTACATTGCAAGCTAGGTAGTCCTCGACCTGTTCTCGAGTTTATTTCTTATCGTCAAGGTTTCCTTCTCGTATTCTATAAGACTACTTTCCTCACACTAACCACTCACGTTCGAGAGTAAGCCTTCAATGATGAGGCCGTTCCTGGTCTTAGTAGCAGCACGTTCACCCCTCCGAAAGTAATGTTACGCATTGTGGTATGAACAGCTGTTCCCGCACAAGCTGTTGTCAAGACGCTTTTGTTCTTACAGCGTGTTAAATCTCGCTTCAGGCGGAGGGCTTCCTGTCCATGTACCGTGCGCACTGTTGCAGCCTTCTTGATGCCGTCATGATAGCCGACTTCAAGGCAGTGAGTATATGGAGTTGAAATTTTCCTCTCAGTTCTAGTTGGCATTTGTGTAACCCGCTTCAGTGTGAATACTTATATACTTGTCGTAATGAAAGCCTCTACCAATCTATATTATTAGAAACAGTCTTGATCACTAGTCTTGAATGAATATATATATATATATATATATATATATATATATATATATATATATATATATATATATATATATATATATATATATATATATATATATATATATATATAGTGGGAGTAATAATTCAATGGGCCAGTTAGTCTTCGTGAAGGTATGGGATATGGCACAACGGGAGCGTTGTCAACAAGGATAAATATATTTATTTCCCAACAGTTTCGGGAGGGGACCTCCCTTCATCAGGGGATGAGTTATACATATATATATATATATATATATATATATATATATATATATATATATATATATATATATATATATATATATATATATATATATATATATATATATATATATATATGTGTGTGTGTGTGTGTATGTATATATTGCTACGTCTTCTAGAGTGTTGTAGCATGCCTCGTGCGGCGATGCCCGAAAAAGTGTTTACCACTAACCTTCGCGATCCCTAGAACAAACAGAAAAATGCAGATGCCTTGAAACTTATAATTCCGCATTTCGTTATGTTGCTACGGGATTCTCGTGGTAAAATGATTGGCTGGGAACATATATGCAAGCCATGTTCTGTACAAGTGCCCTCATTGTATATTTTCTTTCAAGTCTTTCTCACTTACATCTCCTAAGCTTTGCGATCTTTCTTTCCTTTCCTGATCATTTAATGTTGCAACCATAGTGAGTCCGACATATTATACGTGTGACTCAATGGTTATTAACATTGGGGCTTCGAGCAGTCACACGTCCTGCCTCTCTATTCTAGGTGCAGGGTATGGTACTCCACTTCTGGAGCAGCCTGCAGGAAGGTTTCTTGTCGTTGCTTCACAGCGTCATTGTGTGTGACGTTGTATCTGTATGGGACGACTACCTCTACGCGGTAAGCCTTCGGAATAATTCTAACGAATATTAATAACCAAATCGCACAAAAAGTAGGTAAACTTATATATACAAACGTGGTAGCCCCTCAAAGGCCACCAACCCAGAAGCGGGTGTCATTTCTCGTCATCCATTTAAGGCCTTTCGAAAAAAAAATAGTTTACGACCTAAATTATTCACGTCTTAACCTGATGTGCTGCGATCAAATAGTGGATCAAATACAAGACATTTTATTTTCTTTGAAAAACTCATATCTGTGTGTTCTGTTTTTTCACATTTACAAACAACGTATTATTACAAAAGTTGCAGATGTCTGAAACACTCAAGAATCAAGTAAAAGCACAAATTTTCTTTCTTTTTTTTAATTCAGGCAATGCAAGAGATTCTGACTCCCACAGAGATTCAGGAGATGCCGCAAAGGTACTCTTCTTGCGAATTCGAGTCGCATAAACTAACAGAGGAGAGGTTAAGGATGTGGTAATTTCATTTTTCTTTCACCTATCAGTTTTAAACAGGAACTCGGCCTCTTCACAAGTCAACTTCCCGGCTGGCTTTCGCAGTGTTATTCCAGCTTCGCTATTACTTCAGACAAAGATCAGAGGTAAGTGGCCTTGCATTGACCGCATGAACGACACCTATTTAGCTGCTTAAGACGTCATTTTTTTCTTTCCGCGCAGTTCTCCAGGAGTGGACCAAGGTTTTCAAGCGACAGATGTCATTTACAAAGCTGGCGCAGGTGGAGTGTCACTTTTCTGTGAAAGCTTGCCAATGTACCGTGTCACTGTGCGAATTCTGTTTATATATTTTAGTCATGCCGGAGCGTGCTATCTAACGCCTGCTACACACAAAACATGTTGGACGACTTGAGCAAGCTTGTAATGGATGAAACCGTCGAAGAAGCCTTCGCCTGCCTTCAGAATGGCAGAACGGCATCTGCAATGGGTAAGACGCTGGTGTCAGCTATGCTAAAAGTGTTTTTGACTGTGTCAATGTACACACAAAAAATAAACTATGCATCTAGTGATGCGTTCGTATATTATCAACACTGAAAAAAAAAATGTGGCGAGGGTGCGCAACAGCTTGCGATAAGCTTCTTCCTGAACAGCGGTAAAGCTGGTGAGCACAGTCAAGAATTAAGCGTCAAGCCTCATACGTAGTAATCAAGAAGCAATACTAGCAAGAACTAACATAATGAAAATGGTTCAGTAGGAAAAGACACAAGTCTCGCCTTGCATAATAATTTGCTGTGTATGAGTACTTCGAAAACGCTTTTACGTAACTAGGGCTCGTCTTGACACTGCATTTGTGAGCTTCATGCTTCCGGGTTTAAGGGAATGCATCGCTGTACATTCCTTATTAAAATGGTAGGTGTAAACTTAAGAGACAAGAAGAGAGCACAGTGGATTAGGGAACAAACGGGGGTTAAGGATATCATAGTCGAAATCAAGGGGAGAAAATGGACATGGGCCGGGCATGTAGCGCGTAGACAGGATAACCGCTGGTCATTAAGGGTAACTAACTGGATTCCCAGAGAAGGGAAGCGGGTTAGGGGGAGACAGAAGGTTAGGTGGCACATGAGATTAAGAAGTTTGCGGGTATAAATTGGCAGCATGCAAGCACAGGACCGGGTTAACTGGCGGAACATGGGCGAGGCCTTTGTCCTGCAGTAGACGTAGTCAGGCTGATGATGATGATGACATTCCTTATTAATGGCCGTGTTCCGCATTGAATAGGACCACCACATTTAGATTGTTAAGTGGACTAGTACTTCGAACGTTGACATCAACTTGCAGGAGTTGCCGAATTGCTCTCACTGTTGAAGAAGCACGCCTCGGTTGAAGACTTGACTGAATGGATGGACATGGCTCTCGACAACGCCGCCACCGTGAGTCATCACTTCTGCACACTCGCGCTTGTTGCTCGTGACGTTAGCACTATCAAGTCCGCGTATATCGAACACGCAAAAATAAAACTTCAAAAAGCGTATTTTTGTATGGAGGGTGGCTTCACGGCATGACTTTTCGATTCTATAAGAAAGACGTCCTTCACAGCAATACGTGAAAATTTGTTTCTCTAGTTTTGATTTTTGCTTTTGCTTTCATTTCACACTCTTTGTGGGGGCAGTATATATGCTAGAAAATGAGCTATCGTTGTGAATGAACATCGTGCGTCAAAAAAGACTGCTTTCAGATTTTTTTTAATACATACATCGTGGGCATGTGCGAGTGACGAACGATGTTCGTTCGACTTTTTTTTTTCTTATAAGCGATCGGCGACCGCACTCAACAGGAGCACACACAACGAGGAATTATTGGAAAATACTTGCGATGACAAGTGGTAGTTTTCACTTGCCCCGCCCGTCACCCTACTAATCACAACGCTCGCTCTCCCAAATGCATGCGGAAAAGCCACCTTTCGTAAAAATAAAAGCCAGCTTCTTTTTAGGAGAAGCCAACTTCCACGGGCGTTTCTCACTCCCCGATATTCAATGTATGAAGACTTCCAGGCTAGTTCTTTCGGTGTAGCTGTATATTTTTTACGTGGTAACATTCAAGTAGTGCCGTGTCTGAAAATAATCCTATATAAAAGATAATTCGATATTATGAAATGTGGATCCTCGCGCAGTTCCAATTGCTGTCACTTTATTTCTGTCGAAGTGTTTATGCTTGTTTGCAAATGACTATGTTGTGTGCTTCCTGGCATATCTATGACAGGAAGGATACATAGTGGCACGGCGCACAGTCGTAGCGTTGTATACAAGGACTTCATGCTTTCCTGGATGCTGCTTTTCTCGGCCATCATGCGGCACTTGACCTTGTGCCGGGCACAGAGCTTCGGTAAGCTGTTGAAATACAATTCTATTTTCTTCTTGCAGAGATCTATAAATATATGTGTCCATATATCGGGAGCAAATCTGAAAAAGAAGACAGAGTCTCTTATATATTCGCCTAAAACGACTTGAAGGCTAAAGATATATTTTTCTTCTCAATCGATGCATTGATGTTTTCTGCAGCTAACGTGGCTTTGCACTGCCTCCCTGATCGGCCCGCTTTCGGCCATGATGTCATCTGGTGATGTCAGCACGTGACGTCACGTTATGTGACATCATGATCAAGTCATACGGTGACGTCATGTCGCGAGACGTCGCCGGTGGTCAACTTTCTCGTTTGATGGGACACCTAAGGCTTTCGCCTTAAAGCCACGCCAGTATTGTTTGTAAGTGCTGTGCGTGTGATTTAGAACCAACTATATTGTCTGGGTGGTGGTGGCTGTTTAAAACATTTATTTGACTTGCTGCAGAGTGACAGGTGTGCTGGGACCAGTCCGTTATAGGCTGTTCCTTACAAATACGAATTGGTGTTCCCAGTTTGGGGCTCCAGGGGGCTAACCACTCAAGCGCGCTCGACTAAGGCTTCTTGGACGTAAAAGTCGTGCCAGCCTAGCAGGGTTGCTTCACTGCCCCCCCCCCCCCCCGATTCGGTTAGGGTTGAAGGGGAATGGCCGCGTATCTTGTAAGCACATCTATACAGAGCAAATTGAGCACTTCGCAAACACACCCTGCGGGGAATATAAATGAAGCGTTACGTACATCCCCGCTAGTTCTCAATATTCCCCCCACCACTCTGCGCGAACTGCGCAATGCGGCGAAGGGAATATTGAGAACTAACGGTGACGTACGCCAACGAACGCCAATAGCGCGAACGTTGGAGTCTCGAGCGACTTATCCGTACTTCGGAACGCGTGCGTTTGCAGGTCATGTCCACATGTTGCGCGTCATGATAGAGGAGTACATGCTACTCGCCTTCGAGACGTCCGTTGGCAAGAAGCCAGGCACCGAAAGGCGAGAGAAACTGCTAGCGTGCGCCACAGATCCAGGTAAGAAAGAAGGGCGCCGTGCGCTGACTTCGCCCGTTGTGAATGTCAGGCTTCGGTGAATAGTAAATTTTAGGTTTGAAGTGAACTCAAATTGATTAGAGATTTGGTCGAATAATTTCGAATCTAATTCGAATAGCGCATGTCACATAATATTAAGAACAATGTTCATATTTGTCATAAAAAAGTAACCTTCACAATATTTTTAAATGCAAACAAGGCATAAGCAAATGTTATTATTCTTCGTTCGAAGGAAGGGGAAGCAACTTTAAATAGCAGCAGGATTTGACTTTCGGTAGAATACAACTGATAACATGTAAAATACGTCACATATTCAATGTTACTGTACTTGGAGCGTATAAGAAGCTTTTGAATCTAATAGTGAATTATGAATTGATGTGAGAGAAACATGTTCATCATCATCATCTTGACTGCGCCCTCTGTAGGACAAATGCCTCTCCCATGATACTTACAGTGGCCCTTCGCGGCAGTGCAAATTTTCCCTGGATAGGTGCACTTTGTGCATAGCATTTGTTTACTGCAGTGAAAGCATCTTTACAACGTGTTACATATGGATTAAGTACACAGACTCGTTCATTTTGAATACTTCCTAAATTTCCGGTAATTTAAACTTGAATAAAAGCGAATTAAAGTACTGTAATACTATAGTACTGTAATATAGCACCTCCACCAACTGTCACGAGGAGTTCTGTGTGACGAAGTCGTCAGATAGTAGTACGTAGGGCAGCGAGAAGTAACTTTCAGGAATGCACCCGAACAAAAACTTTATGAGCAAGCCGTTGACCTCTTCTCTTCTAGCCACATCCCCACTGTCCCTTGCTGTCCAGTACAGATCAAATATTCGAAGTGCCCGAATATTCCCACAAGACTAGTGAATTTGTATAACAGGTGCAAATTTTCAATTGTAGCGCCTCCTGATTTGGATGTTCTGTGCGTGCACACGGGAGAAAACAGTGGTATTCAGAAAAGTAGTATATCGGGGCCTCAATAACCCTCCAATATTTCATTTTGAAGGGTTATTTCGATAACCCTCCACCTAACCCTCCAATACTTCATATTGAAGGGTTTACGCAAAAAAAAAAATGACAAAGGGACAGAGAGAAGAAGAGAGAGAGAACTCTTTATTGACAGAGTTCTGCCGAGAACTGAGAACTCTTTATTGATAGAGTTCTATGGCGCTTGCATGTTACGTTGCGAAGCCAAGAGGCGTATTCAGGACAGAAATTCCCTAGAGAAACGGAAGCGCGACAAAGGGAAGAAAATACAATGTATATAGTTTTAATGAAGAACAAAAAGAGTACATGTTGGCTATAATTGGACAGCGTTTTTATTCGTTACACAGTACTACCGGAGCGTCCATTTTCTCCGAAGGAGAAGACGCTGGACATATCGGGAATCCTGTGGCACTTCGGAAGTTGAGCACATTCTATTGTGAATACAAGACAAGTTGTATACCTTCTCTGTATCTCTGGCATTCTAACAAAATTGGTAATACTGGAATCCACGCTGGATTATCAACGGTAAAAAATTAAAGACAGCTAAACTCCGCGTATTCCGTCCTGTACAATGTTGTGGTACTTTCACACAGGTATCACTGGCACTTATTCATGACGTAATAGTAATTAGCGCTTCAGTTGTTCGTGCATTTTTTTCCGAGTACAAGCGCACTGCTCCTCTCACGGTTTTCTGAACCAAGTCCTTTCTATAGGCCAAATGTTTTTTTTTTTCATGACAGACACATATAAGCTTAGCAACTTTAGACAGTTAGTTGTCTTGTAGGGTGTGTTGCTTTAACGCCCCTTTTTCAATGTCTTCGCTGCTGCTACAGATGCTGTGCGCACCAGAATGGCAGCGTCGTACGCGGCTCTGGTTTTTCAGCGTGCGTGCTGAACTGGTACCCTACAGGTTCCCTTCACCAGTGTTGTTGGTATAAATAAACGTGCAACTCCGATAAATATTTTCACACTCTCTCTATAGATCAACGTGTCCAGCCATCAAGTCGTGACGCTGGAATGAACATCAACGCTCCTGCATAAAGGTCATCGTAGTAGTAGGAAATATATCAAACAAAAGTTAACCTCCGTCGTCACATTTAGAAAAAGTAAATATTAAACAAGCAATAAAACTTAGTGTTGCATTGGTACTGCAGCTTATATAACATAAATTGTAACTTCATTTGTCGTTTGTCAGAGTTAACTTTCTGGCCACATATGCATAAAATAATCCACAAGTACATATACACTGTCTCTTACGGAAACGGCAATTTAAAACACTATACACGGTGCCACTGAATAACAGTCAACTACGTTCTAGTAATATCAATGCCTTCACCACTCTTGTCCTGTTCACCAATTTGCTCCCCATGCCGTTTACTGCGACATTTCGCGCCTATTCAAATGTTATGATTCGTTCTTAAACCTTGTAATTGATGTCCGATTGGTGTCACTACAATTTGTGATCTTTTGATTTCCACCAACCTATCGGGTCGCATTCTGCAAGGTTGTCAATCCCCGTGTTGGACAAGATCTCAAAGTTTCAACCTTGCGATACGGTAACACTAGGGTGCCTGAATGGTTTCCCTCGCCCGCCGCTCCTTGCAGGGTGGGGACATTGTTTGACGGGGTGCTCGCCGCCGCGACCGGTTTTTCCTGACGGCCGCCGCCATTGCAGATCTCACTTCGCATAGCGACGGGAGCAAAGAAGGAGCTGTGGCCGCTCTGTCATATACTTTTTTAGGGAAATGACTGGGTGCTGCGTGCCCATGTGCACGAACAACTCCAGAAATGGTTGGAAACTCTACCATTTTCCGACAGAGCCCAAAAGAAGGCTGCTATGGATGGTGAAGATTAAGCGAGACAAGTGGCAGCCTACGAAGTCCTCGTGTGTATGCAGTGTGAGTATCCCGACATGTGTTCTTTTCTCGTCGAGAACTTTGAAACTTGTTTTTTTAAATGTGTATACGTGTCTGTGGGTCACTTTGTCGGTGCTGTAAACGCTTCACGTCTAAGTTGCAGTTTTTCTCTCTTTTTTTGCGATCTCTAAAAGTGCAGCTATGGAAACGTGTGGCGCAGCCGCAGTATTTGAAGTTTGTACCAGTTTTTAGTCACTATATGTATAACAAAATAGGCTGCTTGTTATTAATTGCGTATTTACAGAAAAGTGTTTTTCATTCGTTTATTGCAAATCACGAAATTCAATAAAAGTTGTGTGGTATACTGTGTCTTTCTAGTAATTCTGTCTAGGCTAAGCTAAGCTAAAATTCATGGTTCATAACGGACTTACAGGCACATTTTGAAGCAAGCCATTTCGAGCAGCACCGAGCTGACCAGTGGATAAACTGAAGCCGAACGCTGTGCCAACGGTGTTCCCTTTCAGGGGTAAGTTACTGTTTCACTGTGCGTCAAAGATTCTGTATGAACCTAACAGGTGGCAACAGTACAAGGCTAAAATGATTTAGTTTCAAAAATTAGGATGATCCGTGGAATTCCTCGTTTGAGGATATTAAGAAAGTCGGGGTACGTGCCTGCGACCTGAGAAAAGGCATATGTCTGCAACCTATAATACTGCTGGCGCACAGCAACCGCAAAGCTGCAATTCTCAGACGCCTGATTCAGTACCGCACATTATGGAAAGGGAAGAAGTTGTGATCTCGGCCGATGCACCTGACGGGGCACGTGAAAACAAGCAGTTAAATAAGCAGCTCTCCGATATGGGCAGAAAATACACTCAGCTACATCAAGTCCATCGGAAAGCCACCTCAACCATTCAAGCACTAAAAAAACAGGTGAAAAAATTGGAAACCAAAATGGAATTATTCGGACAGCGTTTGAAATTCCTCAATGATGACCAGCTGCAGGCTCTTGGGCGCCAGAGTAATAAGGGAAGCACTTGGTCTGCAGAAACAATCAAGCAGGCGCTTCAGATTAAGTTTTCCTGTGGAAAAACTGGTTACCAGACACTAAGAAATCTGGGCTACCCCTTGCCATCCGGAAAAACCCTTGCACGTCGCCTTCAGGGCCTCAAGTTTCTTCCCGGAATTTTGACGGAAGTCATCGATGTTCTCAAAATCAAAGCAGAGAACATGCAAGACATTGAAAAAGACTGTGCTTTGTTCTTGGATGAAATGGAGATTGCTCGCGGGTACGAGCTCGATCGCGCTGAGGATGTGGTGTTGGGGGGGCAAACTATGCCAGAAAATCCAGACGAACCTGCACATCACGCACTAGTGTTCATGGTAGGAGGCCTGAATACGAGATGGAAGCAAGTGATTGCCTACCACTTCACCGGAAGTCATGTAGAGGGTAGTATCCTCAAGGACTACGTCATGAAGATAGTGCAGCTCTGCGCGGAAATCTCTTTAAGAATCCGTGTCGTCACTTGCGACATGGGGGCTTCTAATCGGGCTATGTGGCGCGAGCTCGGATTCTCCAGCCACAGGAATTCCATTACTGTATGTTCAGTGCCTCACCCCTGTCTGGAAGACAAAGAATTGTTTTTCACAGCAGATGCTGCACACGTGCTGAAGAATGTCAAGTCACAGTTGCTTTCATCGGAAGTATTCTTTCTGAGTGATGCAACAGTATGCCAGCACAATCTGCCATCAAAAGAAGTGAACGTGGACCATGTGCGCAGTGTAATTAAGTATGATGCTGAACGAGAGCTGAAAGTCGCCCCGAGGCTCTCAGAGTTACACATTTCGCGAGGCCATTTCACAAAAATGAAAGTGGGAGTTGCTGTCCGCTTCTTCAGGGAAGCTCCTGCAGCGATTCGGTACCTAATTAAAGAGGACGCGATAGAGCCGGAGGCAGAGACAACAGCTTGGTTTCTAGAATTAGTATTCAACTGGTACACGCTAATGTTCTTCCCGCCACCCATCAGTTGCTCTCAGCCTTCGAGACATGCGGAGGTACCACGAATCAATTGAGCTACTGAACTCGGCCCTCGAAGTTTTTCAAGGAATGAAGATGGGAAGCAAGGCACAGTGGAAGCCTTCGCAAGCAGGTTTACTAATAACAACAAAAGTCGTTCTTCGTCTCCAAGACATTCTCTTGCGCAGTGAAGGATACGAATTCTTCCTCACGAGCAGAATCTTGCAAGACTGCCTCGAAAATTTGTTTTCGGTGGTGCGCATCAGGAAGCCTGTTCCTAACGCATATGACTTAAAGTGTGCCCTGAAGCTTGTGTGCGTGAGTCAGTTCCTTCATGCACCCGGAACGTCAAGCTACGAAGTCGACGATGCTAAGTACCTCGCCGACATGCTTGCAAAAGGCAAACAAGAGCACGGGGAGGTGGAAGCTGATGTCATTGATGACTCGGAAATTTTGTTCATTGAAGAACTTCAAGAAAACGAATGCAACATCCTTTTCTACATCGGCGGCTTCCTTTTAAAAGGTATGCTGAGTGTTGTAGCGGGATGCGGGCATTGTAATTCTGCCTTGTTAGGCTCAACTGAAAGCGAGCACGCAACTCTGACTATTCTGAAGGAGTACAGGAGTGAAGGTGGCAACCTCACATATCCCAGCAAGGATGTTTTGCTGACACTCAAGTCGTGTGAAGAGCATTTCAGGGGCATCATAAGTTGGAGTGAGGGCTTGCTGCGCTTAAGGTCCCCGTTGAAGGCCGTGACCGATTATTTGAACGAGATGGTGCGCCCTTGCGTAAAGACTTGCTCCGAGCACAGTGACGCCGTAGCAAAACTCCTTATTGCGAATTATGCAAGACTGAGGCTTCGCGTGCATTTGCGCCACGTTAGTTCAAACGGCGTCAATGAACACGGAAGCAAGACGTGCGCTGGGGTAAGCCTTCCGTGACCAGCCGAACTGGACCAGTCACTTATAAATTTTATTATTTTTTCTTTCAGAACACTTATTGTTTGATTAAATATTTTGAGTTCATTGTGAACTGGCTAACCTCCCTGTCCTTTCTTCATCCTCCTCCTTAAGTTCATAGACATTTTTCTTATTTGTTATACAATATCACATTCTTAGATAAAAACAGCGTTGTGATCTTTAAGCTGACTAAGGTTGTGATCTTTGGAGAATGTTTATGGTAAGTTAATATTATTGCGGTCGAAGCAATACCGACACAGCGTCACAGAGGCAGAATACGAGAGTGATACTTCTCGGATAATTAGATTGCTCGCTTACATATATCTATGGAAAGTAGAAAAACTGAACAGGTATAGGGCATCAAAATCGTTATTACTGCATTTCATCTTGTATTTTCCAATAACTTAGTAAGATTTTTTTCTCAGTGGTCACATAAAACGAGAGATTCAATTGATGTTTACGCTGTTTCACTATCTCAACCAGCTATAACAGAAAAATAGCTGTGTAACAAATCTGAATCTCATTCCCGCAAGATTATTCAGAGCTGCGAGGGCACGCAAGGCGGGGGAAAAAGCAGGATGAAGTAAGTTC